AAACCTGCACATAAAGTACAGTTCAAGCTAGTTTGCCAGCAAAACTAGCATAATGTATTATGTCTGAGTTCACAGACCTCTGGGAAAACAACACACCCAACAGAGAAGGGAGTGAATTTATGAGTTAGGCACTCTATATAAAAGGGTAGGGAAGCAACTCTTACAGGGATTTGCCAGTTGTGTGTCAATAAACATAAACCATGATGTGAGTCTTTTGCTAACATAAGTCATAATTTCACATTGGCTAGGTTTGCACATTGTGAAAAGCCAAAATATTTAACTATGCTAAATATACCCATATGTTGGGTAAGTCAGAATGTTCTGGTTTTTACATAATACTAAGCCACAATAATTCGCACACTGTGCTAAGCCCAAAAACATAGCACTATGTCACAGTCAATGTGATGGAAATGGCCTTGGTCATGCTTTTGGATGATCTCTGGTGGGAGCGGGATGGGAGTAGTGCATCTGTCCTTGGTCTACCTGACCTGTCAGCAGCTTTCAATACCATCGACTATGGTATTCTTCTGGACTGGCTTTGGGGGTTGGGAGTGGGCGGCACTGTATTGTGCTGGTTCTCTTCCTTTCTCTGAGGTTGATTCCAGCTGGTGTTGATTGGGAGTCCTGTTCTTGGCTCCTATTATGTGGGGTGCTGCAGGGCTCAGTACTCTCTCCGTTCCTATTTAACATCTGTATGAAACCACTGGGTGAGATCATGCATCACCATGGGGTGAGGTATCATCAGTATGCTGATGATACCCAATTGTACATGTCTGCCCCTGGTGAGCTAAGTGATGCTGTTATGTCGTGTCTCAGTGTCTTAAGGCTGTGGGAGTCTGGACAAGGGAAAACAGCCTTCAACTGAACCCTGCCCTAGTCACCTCCCGAATGGACTACTGTAATGTGCTTCACATGGGGCTGCCCTTGAAAAGTATCCAGAAGCTTCACCTGGTACAAAATATAGCAACATGGGCAGTTATGTGTGCTCCAAGATATGCACATGTTATACCTCTTGTATATGAGCTGCACTGGTTGCCAGTTTGCTTCCAGGTCCAATTCAAGATGCTGGTTATAACCTTTAAAGCTGTACATGGCATGGGACCGGGATATTTGAGGAATCGCCTGTCCCTGATTATATCTACCCGTCTCATCAGGTCTGGCAGGAGAGGCATGCTGGGGTCCTGTCAGCCAGGGAGTGCCATTGGGTGGGACCAAGGAAGAAAGCCTTTTCTGCTGTAGCCCACACCCTGTGGAACATCATTCACCCCAAGGTGAGGCTGGCCCCAACCCTGTTGGCCTTCCAGAAGGCCCTTCAAACATGGCTTGGTAACTAGCTTGGGGATCCCATGATAAGAGTGGAGCCTGCTAAATGGTAGTATGATAGCTAATGGAATATATTCTCTGTATGTTTTCTCACCATTTTGTTTTTAATGTTTAATTAAATTGATTGTTTTAATGGTTTTTTATATTTTTTTATTATATACACTGCCCAGAGACACTATGAGAGATGGGCGGCTATACAAATGTGATTAAATAAATAAATAAATGTGTGCAGAGGACAAAAACCAGCATGTGAGAGACAAAGAGAGATAACCAGGGGACAGAAATGCTAGTATAGATTTAAAACAAGATTGCTATGGAATAAATATCCATTTTCCTTCTTTAAACTCTCCAAGACATGTAACTATGGACTTGGTATCTAGCTCCAATTTAGTAACATCTTCTAATGACAAAAATTAAGGCATTAAAGAGAACAATATATTTAAAAAATCAGTTCAATAGGCAACAATATTGAATATATTCAGCTCTTCCCTAAGGTCCACAACAAGACACCCTGATCTGAAAATGGGAATCAGATGAGAACTTTATTTACAGTAATCAAAGTAAGAGCTAGTCAATACATAGGCTCTAAAACTTTCCTTGACTTTACAGCAACTGCTGAAAAAAGTCAAACCAGTTATCTTGGACACTTGCTCAAGATCTTTTGAATCCATGAGCCAACACACTGTACCACACACACTCACTCACACACACTAGCTTCCAGATCAAGTGGGAATTTCACACACACAAATTCTACAGGAGTTTTCCAATTACTTACTGGCATAATGCCAATTCACATATTTCTGCTGTCTCTGTGTATGATTCAGAACACTCCTGGCACATGTAGAAAGATAATTTTGATTTCTGCAAACCAGTATCAGCAACTGCCCACTTTAAATTTCTCCACTCACGCATTTGCCCAAGGGAAATACTTGGAACTGCTCATGTGTGAGAACCTGCATGGACTATTATATGATAAAGGTCTAGTCCCACAATTGTTTGAGGCTGACAGTGCAAAGTGTTAGGGTGTTTTAATTGTAACAGAAAATTTCCTTCCAAAAATAATGCCTACTTGTTGAGTTATCCTTTCCTTTCCTTTCCTTTCTTTTTCATTCCATTTTTCTTTCCTTTCCTTTCTTTTTCATTCTATTTCATTTACAATACTTTTTTTCCTTTTCCATTCCTTCCTTTCCATAAAGTCCCTTCTTCTAGCCTGTTCTAGAAGAAATATTAGGTTCCTTCACCTTTTCAAAAACATTATTCTGATGCTTCCAGCCTATACTGAAAATCTGAGTCATTCTCCTGGAAACTAAAAGAAATAGTCAGGTAACTATTTTTCATTATAGGGACAGTATTACTAGCACACACAGCAGGACATATATAGCACAGTGGCATTTCACACAGAGACCAGATACACAGTGAGGAAGACTCAGGAAACAGAAACAAGTTCCTTAAAAAGACTTAAAAAATTATACGACTATTCAAAAGCTCCTCTACCCCAAATTCTGCAGGTTTTCCAAAGGAACCCAGAAATTAAAATAAGTGCAGAGCATATAACATACAGCCATCAGCCCTAACTCAATGTTGCACGTCTTTTAGCTGTCCTTTGTAATACAGGTAGTCCTCATTAAATGATCATTCGTTCAGAGACCATTCGAAATTATGACAGTGCTGAACGAAGGGATTTATGACCTGTGCCCGAAATTATGACCATTACAGTGCCCCCGCAGTCACGTGATCAAAATTCAGGCACTTGGCAGCCCGCCCACACTTACAACTGCAGAGGCACTTCAACTCTCCCCCACCTATCTCCCCCCACCTCTGCCCTTTTGGCCCCCTGCCACCTGTGCTCCTTTGCCTCAGTTGATCTTCGCCATCTTCTTGCTCCCACTGCTGACAAGGCATGCCCAGCCTAGCTGCTGGGCCCTATGGGGCTGGCTTGGCGCTGCGAAGAAGGAGAAACAAGCCAAAAGCAGACTTTTTCTTCCCTTATTCCCAGCGCAAAGCCAGTCCCGCCCCCACCTACTCTAAAGAGGGCTTTGTGCTGCAAAGAAGGGGAAAAGAGCTGAAAGTAGCACAAAGCCTCTTTGGAACTCCTGGGGTGGGGGGCAGGGCTGGCTTTACACTGGGAAGAAGGGGAAAAAGCCGTTACCAACCTTTTTTTTCACCTTCTTTGCAGCACAAAATCCAAGCAGGATTTTGACACAGAGCTTTTTCAGCCAGCCCCCAGAGTCGAGAGGGAGCCCTCTCAGCAGGTGGGAGCGGCTTGCAACCTTCCCTGCTGGCTTCCCCACTGACGTTCTGGGGAAGCTGACAGGGAAGACTGAAAATGGTGATCACATGAGCAACTGCAAGCCACTGCCACCTGCCTAGAAGACTCCCTCTCATCTCTAGGGGCTGGCTGAAAGTTCCCTGTGCCAAAATCCAAGCAGGATTTTCAGCCGCAGAGGATTTTCAGCCTAGAGTGAGGAGGCTTCAGAAGCCTCTCAACTCTGGGGCTGAAAATCCAAGCAGTTCCAAGGCCCTTGTGCACCCAACCCACGCTGCTGTGCACTCTCACCGACACTCCCACAGACATCCTCGTTTCCTCCCCCATCCGGCAGCACCTGGGATTTGCAACTTCCTGCTGGCTCCCCCATTGACTTGATTGTGAGAAGTCAGCAGGAAGTTGCCTCACCTAATGACCAGAGCATTCACTTAACGATGGCAACTGAGACTGCCAGGATTGCAGTCGCTAAGCAAATCAGTCACATAATTCACTTAATGACAGTACTGTTTAGCGACCTAAATTCTAGTCCAAATTTTGGTCATTAAGTGAGGACTACCTGTATAGAAGACCAAAATCTTCACATCACATCAACCTGTCCCACCCGGTCAGGCAGAGAGGGCATGCTGCAGACCCCATCAGTGAGAGAATGTTGGCTAGCTGGTCCCAGGAGGAGAGCCTTCTCTGCTGTTGCCCCTGCACTTTGGAATATTCTCCCCCCAGAGGTGCAGCAGGCCCCTACCCTCTCGGCTTTCCAGAAAGGATTAAAGACCTGGCTCTGCCATCTTGCATGGGATGACAACAATCTTACCCAATCCTGGGGGTTGCTGGTGCCTTGATGACGCTCCCTGAGTGACTGCCGATTTTATATCTATCCTTGGATCTATTTATTTTCTATTTATTAAGATTATAATTTTAATTGATTTTAACTATTTTGTAAATCACCCAGAGTTGTTTAAACAAAATGGGTGGTGACAAATTTGATAAACAAACAAACAACTTGTTTGTGTGAACTAATTTTTGTATTTACTGCTTAAAATATGCTACCGCTATGTCACAGGATGTTCATGAATCAACTAGTGACTTAGCATATCCATTTAAGCAAAGTTTGAAGGCTAGCTTTTTCAAGCAGTTTCTGTTAAGAGTATTAAAGTAAGACCAATGACATGATCAGGAGAACACATGGGCTCTACACAGCTATGTGGAGGTTAATGCAAGATAGTAATCTGATTGCAGAAACAGCAAGTTGAGGTGACTGACTGCACTTTAGATAAATATAAAGAATGAGAGAAATGATTGATCTGTGTGTATATTTTTTAAAGGATGGAATTAACAAAATGATGAGCTCAGGCTCAGAACTCCTCCTGGGCAAACACTTAACATGTTATAGTCTTGTCCAGATTATAAGCTTTCATGAGACTTCTGAAATCTTTTGTTGAATCTGATATAGTATGAGACAGAACCAAGTATAAATCATTTGACTCCCATGAGTCACTTCTTAAGAGTGCAATTTGATTAGAAACAGATTACTCAGGCATGCCTTTAGATCTGTTTTCAAGAGCACAAACATACACTCTTACCTCGTGGCAATTCTCTGAAGGCTTCTCTCCATTTCTTTGCCTTTGGTAACATCTGGCTTCACTCTGCACATCATTTCCCACTCCCGCTTTTTATCAAGCTGCATCATAAATATTGTTATGTGGAAAAGAATTAGGCATTTAAAAAATGTGGCACAGTCTATAGAGTATTTCTTTAAAAGTAAAGCTGATAAATCATATAGGACAATATTAGGGGAGGAGAGAGAGGATACATCTATGCTTAACTTTACTTCTGTAGGGTCATGCAACAAACACAGATCAATGGGGTGAATTTTCATATAATGGGCTCACCTGTGAATCTTTCCAATTGCATTAGCACCAACCATTCTTCAAGCAGACTTTCTAAACACTGAAATAAATTATTCAAAATACAACTCCCACCTCAGCTAAAGAAAGGAGTTACTTCACAACTGAAAATTTAATCTAGCATTTGGGTGCTCAACTAGGCAAATGATTCTTTGTTCTACACAAAACCAAACCAAAAAAGTAGAGCCTTGCTTAGGCAACAGTTCGGCACCTACTTCAACAAATTCCCTCTTTGCAAAATTTAATCTGGGCATGTTATTTAATCCTTAATACAAGGCTGACATAGAGGGAAATAGGAGAATAGCTTCTGACAAAGAACACAGATGCCGAGTCACTGTGGACCCTTAGGTATCTATTCTTAACTATGATAATACTGTTGTCATGACAGAAGCTCTATCCTTCATATTTGTGTTGTGATGTCACATGGAAGTAGAGTGGATGGAGTCTGCATTGCAACACAAATTTTGTCACTTGCCCCTGCTTTTACCCCATTCCCCTATATGTGGGCTACTACTATTTTCACAAGATGCGATACCATATGCCTTCAATTCCCACCCAGACTTTTGCCTTCCAATGACTGAGATTGAGAGAGATCATAATGTCGTATATTGGCGTGTGCTGTATGAAGGGACTTGGCAGTTATCATTATGCAAAGTGTTTAATACACAACCAAGCAAACTGTATCTTCTTGAGTATACACAGCATGTTTGACTTGTATAAACCACTTAATAGCAAATATCTAATGAGGAGTCAATCTTTTTCAGCCATAAACCCAATGAACATCCCTTTTCAAACTGTCATCCCAGAAGATAAATACCACCGTAAGTGGCAATTACTCTTTCAGACCAAACAATCTTTAAGGAGGGTGCAATTTTACTAAGATTATGTTATGGGAAAACTAAGCCTTACTGCCTGCATGTTACTATTTTAACTGCCTTAGCACTCCAGCTCTGCCATTTTGTGTAGAACACATGGGACCTTGCTTAGTTTGGTCTCAAAGATCTTTAAGAACATTAGAGATTAAAATGTCTCATTTATCGAGTCTCAACATTAGATTATTGTTGTACTAGAAATATTTCCAAGTCTAAAGGGATACACTTACCTAAACTGAACAACCTGGTAAAATACTACTCTCTATTCTATTTGGAATATCATTCTTCCTGAGATCAGATTGACCCCAACCTTGCCGGCCTTCTGGAAGGGGATGAAAATGTGACTCTGCCATCTGGCCTGGGGATCCGGTAACAAGGGTATGGAGCCTGCAAAGCTGCTGTATTGCTAAGGAAATTGAGTGTGCTCTCCTGCAGATTTTTTTATTGTTTTTAAATGTTGTTTTAGTGATTTTTATTCTTTTGCTTTTGGTGATTTTGTTGTATTGTTTTAGTGTTTTTAATTTCTTATGCCACTCAGAGTCACATATCTGAGATGGGTGGCTCTATAAATTTACCAAATAAAAATAAATAAATAAATAAATAAATAAATAAATATTCAATTAGAATAACATCAATAGTATGATAGCCATGCATGGCATCATCAAGCACACTATATTCTAGAGCATTAATTAATTTCTGGATTTTACTTTAGGATGAAGAGTCAGGGAAATTAATGTAAAACTTTTTGATGGTATTTATGTAGGGGAAGTAGATAGAATTAATTTCTTTGCCATTGGGCCAGACTGTTAGGATGGCATCAAAAATCATTACCTGATAATAAATATGTAGATAAGCTTTGCAGTGATGAACCTAAACAAGTATATCTGTAAGTAAGACTGGCATATTTCAAGAGCACAGAGAGGTTAATTATATTCAGAAGACATGCCTCACCACAGTCATAACACACTTAATTGGATCATGGGAACTGTTAATGTGTCATGCAAGTACTCTAACTTAGCCAAGACAACTGACACAGTTAAAACTAATTAAAGATTTGTTTGGGGCTAAAGTAATTCCTCTTGGTCAGCTGCATCATGAAAATATGACCAATGTTTCAGTGGGGATTAATGGTGGTCTAATCATCTTCAGAGGAGCGGAGATGGCACTGTAGCAGAGAATCAGGGCCCAGAGGGCCAATGCTGGACACCGAAATCTTTCCAGAAGGCAAGAATGTGAAATCAACCCATCTGATTTCCGGATGGCTGCTCCCCGCAGGTAAACTGCAGGAACGGAAGCTTCTGCGGTTTGCTTGCGAGTTGAATAACTGGGAGGCACAGGATTCCATCCATGTTTACAGCTATAGTGCAGCCTGTAAGAACATTATGACCTGCCATCCCTATTTCTTAGCCACATTTAGAAATAATTATTTTATAGTTTGAGGTTTTTTTTTTTACAACAGATAAGTGTTCCTTCTGGTGAGTCTCAATTTTTTTTTTTTTTGGATTATAAAAATAAAAGAAGGCTTAAAGATTTACACTTTGAAAAATATTTGGTAAAAAGCTTGACAAGGGATGAATTAAGGAAGTTTAAAATGGATAAAGGGAAGTTATTTTTAAAAGATTAACTTTTCTACAAAAGTGCAGTGCAAAAACCATAAATGAATTAAGCAACTGACCCAGACCTCCCAGTAGAAATGCTTTTTGTTTCCTTTTAGAAGACTGTAGCTAACTGACTACATTTACAAATAAGAGATAAGAGTAATATGAGTAGACTGACTGCTTATTTGTAACTATGGAGACATAGAGGCAGCGTGTGATTATAGCATCAAATTACAGCATCAAAGGCACAAGAGGATAGAAGAAAAAAAAGGGGGGGAGAAATTGTCTTTTACTTTATCTTTGTGTGAGCCTTTTATTTTTGGATTATAAAATGACGATTTGGAAAGCTGCCCGAATGGAGGGAATGAGGGGCTCCTTGGAACAGCTGGCAGAGAAGGCAATTCCATTGGATAGACTTCAGAATATGTTTGATCAACTTGAAAACAGATTTCAATCACATGAGGCTAAATTTACAGTTTTTGAAAAGAAAATAGATGAAAGATTTGAAAAGATGGAAAATGGTAAGACAAATGACTGGATATATAAAACAAAGCAATGATAAGATGGAAATTTTGGAGAATAAAATAGAAATTATTGATAGAGAATTGGAGAGACAATTTGATAATTTGGCTTTACTGGAATTGAGAGAGAATGAATTTTGTTTAAGATGCAGAGCTATTCCAGAGAGCTCTGATGAAAATATTAGAGAAAGAATTATACAAATTTTGGCTACTTTTTTGGATTGGGAGGAGGATGATACTGAGGCAGAGATTGATAAATTCTACAGAATAAATTCACAATTTGCGAGAAGAAGAAACGTTCCCAGGGATATTTTGGTGCTTTTTGTGAGGAAAAAGACAAGGGATCAGATTCTGCAGCAGCATTTTAATACAAGGTTTAAGATTGATAATGCAGATATAATTATTTTAAAAGAAATAACTATCAGACTTTTACATAAGAGAAAAGAATATGCCTTTTTGACTGAAAAATTAAAGCAAGGAAAAAACATTTCACTGAGATAAATTAGAGGGCATGATTTTTACTTTTAAACAGCAGAGATTTTGACTGAATTTTGTTCAAAAGGTGAGAAAATGTTTGGAAAAAATATAAAGGAGAATTGGAAGAGGTCCAAATGAAGAAAGGGGAGACTTCACAACAATTGCAACAGATGAAAAAGGACTCTCAAAGAGATGTCACTGAATTGGGTGCCATAGGTATTGACTTTTCTAAATTCTTGGCTTGACTATGGATTACAAATATCTAACGTGGTATATAAATAGAGCAAATGTTCCCGAAAAGAGAAAAAAATACTTAAAAAAATTGAAACAAGATATAATTTGCTTATAAGAAACTCATATTAGGAAGAAAGATATAAAATATTCATAAAAAATTGGGTGAAGAATTTATTTCAGCAGGATCTAAAAAAAAAGAAAAGAAAAGAAACGGAGTTCTTTTGTACATTAATCCTCTACTAAAACCAGAATTTATATTGACTGATGAATATAGTAGATTTGTTTGGGTGGAAGTTGAACTACACGGGACTAAGAGTATGGTACTGGGAATTTATGCCCCAAATGAGGATAAAGCGACATTTTACAAATGACTTTTGGACAAATTAATAAGTTTTTCTTGAGAAAATTGCTGTTGATGGGGGATTGGAATGGAGTGATTTCCCCACAGTTGGATAGAACATCTGAGAAAAATCTGAGAGCCAGTTTGGTCTAGTGGTTAAGGCACCAAACTAGAAACCAGGAGACTGTGAGTTCCAGTCCCACCTTGGGCATGAAAGCCAGCTGGGTGACTTTGGGCCAGTCACTCTCAGTCCAACTCACCTCACAGGGTTGTTATTGTGGGAAAAATAGGAGGAGGAAGGAATATTAGGTAAGTTCGCCACCTTGAGTTATTTATAAAAATAATAAAGGCAGGATAACAAATAAAAAAAAATTAAAACTACTCCAGATAAATTACCAAATGTCTTTTTTCATTTGATGGATAATGTAGGGCTAGTGGATGCATGGAGACAGAAAAACGGTAACTCTAAAGAACATACTTATTTTTCAGAAAGAAATATACAGTGCATTTGGAAAGTATTCAGACCCCCTTCACTTTTTTCAATTTTGTTATGTTGCAGCCTGATACTACAATCGTTCAAATTCTCATTAATCTACACTCAGCACCCCATAATGTCAAAGTGAAAACAGAATTTTAGAAATGTCTGTAAATTTATTAAAAAGACAAAACTGAAATATCACATTGGCATAAGTATTCAGACCCTTTGCAACAACACTTGAAATTTAGCTTAGG